TTTTCTCCTGCCCTTTTACCAAACTTCCAATCCAGATAGCCTGTGTAGGACTATGACCAGTCTATTGATATATCAGATCGGCCTGATATCCTTTTCCTCTGGTTCATTCCAGTGGTCTGGTTAGTGGTACCTCTGAGACTTCCAACCCAGAGGTTCTTGCCTGTCTGGCTACTAGGACTGGGTACTAAACCTGGGTATCCATTTCCCTGAGCTAGCCTTTACAGTAGAGCTGTCGAAGATCCAGCTACCTCTCTACTCAGATCTTTCCAAATGAACTTCTTGTTACCCAATTTCAACAGATTTACACAGCCACAAGGATTTATCTAGTGTTTGCACTGCCCGATTTGTTGGTTTGCATTCCTCTGTATAACTCCAACATTGCACAGATGCCCTATAACCTGCCAGTCATGCTGGTATGACCGCTATTACAGGTATCCTAACCCAATCATTAGTAACAGTTGCTGTAATATGAATATTACATAGGTGATGATCCAAATTTTCATTGTCGATGAGATTTAAACACCCAATCTACTACTTGGAGAGTTGACAACCTGACCACTTCACTAGGTCACCACACTCTCTTTTATAAATTTAATTTTAATAACTAAAATGATATTATATTAAAAAAAATTTTTAGTAAATTTTAAATGAACCAGAATTGTATGAATTATTTTTAAAAAAATAAAAAAAATTAAAAACTTAGATTTATATAATTTAGTATATGTGTATTATAATACACCTATCTAATTAATAAATTAAATCATAAAACTAGATATAAAATAAAATTAAAAGAAAATATTAAATTTTTTAAAAATTGCTTGTAATTCAAAATTTTGCTTAAGAACCCACTTTTCATATTTAAATAAAAAAAAATTTATAAAAATTTTGATATAAAAATTATTTTTATTATTACTTTTTTTTTTGCTTTTATTAAGACTGTAATTATTAGTAGTTATTGTCTTTATTATATTTTAATTATGATTATATAATTTATATAAGATGAATATACAACTAGTCATATATACAACTAGTCATATATATAACTTTTGGTTGTCTATTTTAAGTAGTTCATCTATACAGCAAGTTCTATACTAGTTATCATATCAGCAATCTACTAGAAAATTATTTATTTAAATACTTTGATTCCTATACTTATACTGACAAATAGCATACAAGTTTCTATACATCTAAGTACTATCTAATCTAATCTTAATCTCTCTTTTTGTACATCTGTCAAGCTGTTACATATTTCAAAGTACATTACCTGATTGTAAGACTTCAAAAAACTCTTTTGCTAACTAATTATCTATATTTAATCTTTTTGTTAACAGGACTTACCCTTTCAGAGTTTATCCAAACCAAATACTAACTTTATAGCATATCTCTAATACTTATAGTATACCTCTGCTTCTAATCTTAAACTTCTAATATAGATAGTTCAGAAGGACTATAACCTGTCTCTAGTACTCTAGAGTTTGTTTTTCAAGGTCTTTTTTCTCTGATTTGAAACTTCTTATAGTCTAATTAATGATATCCCTTATCTAAGGTTCTTGCTTATCTGATTTCTTCTATATTGGTATCTATTTTCTAGGTCTAGCCTTTACAGTAGTACTGTCAAAAATTTGTACTATCTTTTTACTTAGGTTTTCTCAAGTGGATTTCAGCTTTTTAGTTCTACAGATTTATATAATCACAAGAACATATTTTTGATTTGTACTACCTAGTATTAGTTTGCATTCATCTGTATAACTTTAATATTGCACAGATGCCCTATGACCTGTCAGTCATACTAGTATAACTGTAGTTATAGGTATTTTATCTTAACTAATCGACAAAATATTATTACTATAATACTGTTTATATATTATATAGATGATTATCTAAATTTTCACTATCTGTATGTTTTGAACTCACTATCTACCACTTGGAAGTTGATAACTTATTTATTTTACTAAGTTACCATATTTCTATTTTATTATTACTTAATTTTAAACTATTTTAATATTAGCTTTTATTTAAAATTAATATGTTAATTAGTTTGTTTTGATTTTATATTACACCCAATCTTATAAATGTGTTATAATACATATGTACAAAATAATTAAAATTAAAAACTTATTATTTTTATAATATATATTTAACAAAAATTTTGAATTAAATATGAGTATATATACAGCAATATTATGTTTAAAGTATATATATTTTATATACTCTAAACATGGTTTTGCTATATACTCATTTATATATAAATATTAAGTTTTTTAATAAGCTGTTTTTTTATCTTATACAAAAAAAATAATAAATATTTAATTTTTTGATCAAGTTTATTGTAATTATTAATAACTATTTTTTAAATAACTAATCTTTTTAAATAATTTATTACTCAAATAGTAATAAATTTAAATACTAATAAAAATGTTAAAAATTTACAAATCTATAAAGATATTAAAGATTTATAAATCTATAAAGATTTATATATTCAACTTATAAATTAATAAAAAATTTCTTCAAAATTCTTAAAAATCAACAAAGTAAAAAATTACAAATAGATAAAAAAATTAAAAAAATTTAAACTAGTAAAAAAAATAATATATGAAATAAATTTTTATAAATGAAAAATAACAATATTCCAAACAACTAAAGATCATTTAAACAACACTTTATTTTTCAAATAAATACAAAAAATAGTTTATTAATGTTATTTTAAATAAAATATTTGCATATATATATATTTAGCTTTAATTGTTAGATTAGTAATAATAGCATATTTAATTTAATTCTTATAACGAAACTGCTATAAATATGATTATTAAAAAAAAATTTGCTTTAAATAATTGATACTGATTTTTGATCATATGAGGTAAAAATTTTAGTAACAATGCTGGGCAGCTATGTTGCTAGAGAGATCTCATGTAATATAGATTTTTTATAACAGAATGAAACATCACCGTAACAAAATTGTCCCGGCAGATTTTGATTTTGATTGGCTAAGAGCGGCGATCATCAAATTTTTACTAATGAAATCACAGCTGCCCATTAAGTGAAAATTGTTTCTGGGCTAATTTTACTATTGTGCAGGTCTATTTCTTTAAACTTTTCTATTTTTGGGATGAAAAAATTAAAAAGTTAATTCCGGCCAGAAATTAGTAAACAATTATGTGATCCAAATCTTAGTTGAAAAATAAACTAGTTGACAACTTTCCCACTAATCGATTTAGAAAAATTTGAAAAAATTATGTGAAATTCGAAGATCATTAAAAAAAAAAGCAATCACCATGTTTTTAGACTTTAAAATCTATGCATTTATCATTTTGTAACAATTTTATTATTTTTTATAGAAATAAAAGTTGCATTTGCAGAAATAGGAGTTGCGCATTAAAATATTCAATCAAAATTTTACAAATGATAAATGCACAAACCTTGTCTAGTCTAAAAGTCAAAATAAATGTTGAAGAAATCAGAAATTAGTGATTACTTTTTTTTTAATAATCTTCAAATTTCACATAATTTTGCAAACCGCAATAATTACAATTAAAAATGTCATATACTCAAAAGGTATCATATTTAATCAAAAATGTTTTCATTTTTTTTATTTTACTTGTTTTTAAAGTCATTCAATTCGAGCACACTGAGTTTCATTTAATTAAATTTACGGGATTAAAACTCGTGTTTAATTGGTTCGGGTTTCAAACTGGGGTGAACAGAGTTCAGGTGAGGAGGATCACATCCCTAGATTGGATGAATAAGCAACGTTCATTGACTCCTCCTCCTTTACCACCAAAGCTTGTTACATTGATGGACAGTATTGAAAAATTATTAACTTACAAAAATAATTTACTAAATAAACTAAATTAAATTTAAACAGTAGCTATTGCACAAGCGAGGATTTCATCATGTATAAATGAAATTGTTGGTGAACTAGTATTTATATTTCCAACTTGCAATATAATTTGATATGATTGAGGTAAAGGGGCTTGTAGAAAAATTGTGCCTGTTGCAGTATACTTGGTTCCGGGAAAAATTGGACAATCAGTTGAATTACAAAAAAGAAATGTATTGGGAGTTTGTACTGGAACTGTAGCACCTATTGTAACAACGACTGAGGCAAGTGGGTCGATAGCTCGACCAGACACCTGTTCTCCGTTAAGAGTAAAAGTTATAAGATGTGGAGTAATAAGTGGATCAGGGTTCATTATTACAGAGAATGTATCTTCTACGCCAGGACATGGACCAAAAAGAGAAAAAAGAGACTCTCTTTTATGAATCGAAATGGTATTGATTTTATGAATCGGAATGGTATAGATAATGGCAAGCGTAGCCAATAAAATGAATGCAACGATAAAATTTCGAGCCATGATTACTTTTATTTTTATTCAGTTAGCAGTTAGAGTTTTTTTTCTATGAATGAAATTATCTGGAGTTTCTCTTACTCAGATTCATGTCTTTTTATAGACTTTTGACATGAATCAATAAAAGGAGTTTGTAACATGAAAGTTAAATATTGAAAGACTCAAAAATTCAATTAAAAAATGTAAATCACGTTTTGAATTTGTTCGTATCTCAGGATCATCATGCCGCAATAAATTTTGAGAAAGTTTATGGGTCATCTCAAAATTGGCATAGAGTTATTGACATTTAAAAGTGGATCGAATTGGTGGTAACCTCTATTAGAAGGTTTCCCGGTCCTAAAAAAACCAAAGCCAAGTTACAGCAGTTAGGCTAGAAAATATGCATCATCATACATTACTTTATATTTTCCTTAACTTGCGATTAGCTTCAAAAAGAGCGATCACATTTTATGCATGTAATTTATGGCTTACTGTTACGAGTAAATGTTTCACGTCAGAATAATAAATGTCGGAGATGCTGAAATTTGGATGATAGTGAAATTAACGCATCTGATTAGGGTGATCAGCAAATGGTGTTTTTAGATTTCAAATTTCAGCAACATCCCCGACAATAGTGTGAGTTGAAAAACCAACTAGTTGACAACTTTCCAACTAACTAATTAAATTCCGAGATATTCCGTCTATTCGGGTTGGTTCGTGTTGAATTCTTTAGTTTGGTTGGCCAATCAACTAATTTAGTCACATGATAGGGAAAATCGATTAGTTGCGAACTAATCGATTGAAAAAAATTTTACCAACTCGGAACACTACCCGACAATTACTAACTAATACGTGCAAGGGGGATCTAATTTGAAAGTTACTAGGGAGATCTCATGTGATATGGATTTTTTAAAAAATAATACGACAGGTGAAACATTAACCCTAGCTGCCGTCCTGGCAGATTTTCGATTTTGATTGGCTAAGAGCGGCAATCATCAAATTATTACTAATGAAATCACAGCTGCACATTAAGTGAAAATTGTTCCTGGGCTAATTTTACTATCGTGAGGTCTATTTCTCTAAACTTTTATATCTTAGGAATAAATAAATCAAAAAATCAATTCCGGCCAGAAATTAGTAAACAATTATGTGATCCAAATCTTTAGTTGAAAAATAAACTAGTTAATAACTTTCGATTTAGAAAAATTTGAAACTAATCGATCATTGCGGTTTGCAAAATTATGTAAAATTTGATCATTAAAAAAAAAGCAATCAACATTTTTTTTGACTTTAAAATTTGTGCACTTATTATTTTTGTAACAAGTTTATTATTTTTTATTGAAATAAAAGTTTATTTGCAGAAATAGGAGTTGCGCATTAAAATATTCAATCAAATTTTACAAATGATAAATGTGCAAATTTTGTTAATCTAAAAGTTAAAGATGTTGAAGAAATCAGAAATCATTACGTAATCGGAAATTAGTTACTTTTTTTTTTAATGATTTTAGTTACATGATATGAAAATCAATTAGTATAGTTGGAAGATTTTTACCAACTCGGAACACTAGGTGAAACCCACGTTGTGAATTAGTAAAATCTGCTACGCAGATCACATGAAGGTGAAAAACGCGGATTTCACCCTTAGGATTTACTTATTTGTGTGAGTGATATAAACCCAAAAAAGGGGTCGTTTAAAGCCTGGCACATTACGAAATTACCAGATATGCGTCCTGCATTAATCCGGACAAACCGACCAAAACAAAAACACGAAAATATAAAAAAATGGCTATCTAAACAGGTCTTGGTGCACTAAGTAAAAGTGTCGGAAATGTGATTTTACTATATATACTATCCTCCTAGCCCATATATAACCCTAACTCTAATATCAAATATTAATTAAAAATCAATGGTGCTGTAACCGTTGAGAGGGAGAGCGATTTGAATAGTATATATAGGAAGCCAAGTTAGCTCCAATGGTGTACAGGTAGATAATAAGAAGTGTTAGTAAATGTAACAGGTCTTTTATAATGATTAAAGATCTATCTATTTGATATGATGTGTCGAAATGAGTACTTGGATATCGATCAGAAGATGATGTACCGTATTTGCGTGTAATAGCGGGCCGGGGCATTAATTCGAATTTTGACTTTTTCAAAAATTTAGCTATTTTGCTCAAAATATCGCCCGAAATAGCGTGCACCCATTTTTTTTTTACATAATTTAATCATTTTCTAATTAAATTCTTTTTATAATATAAATAACAAAAAACACAATAAATATTACTGTAATAAATTGAAACCCAAATCTTATATAGTTATAGGATTTAAGAAGAACTTCAAACTATAAATATTAAATTTAGCTCTCAACTATAATAAAAGCAAAAAACCTTCATATTTAACACAGTTTTTTTATTACTAATATGCTATTATTTATAATACGATCCGATTACTAGATAAATTTACATTCGCTTATTAAATGATAAGTTGCTTTATGATTTGTTAATGCAAAATACATTATTTCATTCAATCCTAATAATTTACTTAATCATCAATTTATTTTCACAATTTCTGAATATTATTTGGTTCAGTTTCAATAAATTTATTTAATTATAAAATTCTTTTTCTATATTTATTAAAATTCAATAGTGATAAAAAGGTATTTTAAATTAAAATTATCTATATCAGTATTAAATCAAAAATAAAATACTTGATACTAAAATTAACTTACTTCACCAATGCAAAACATTGTTCATTAAAGTTCTTCATATTTGTTTAATACAAATGCAATTTTTGGTTCAATTGCTAATGACTTATTTAAATCTGACAATACTTCTTTGTGTCTATACATTATTTGCATTATTACAAAAATCTTAAGCACTTATATAATAGTGTGTTCACCATACCAAAAATTGGTGAACTTTTGTGATTTCTCATTCATATTTTTTTTATTTTTTTTTTAAAATATTAAGGTGAGTACTTGCAACTCAGGATTTTATTGATAGTATATTTGACTAATGATTGCTTTACAACCACAGAAGGCAACCATGGAAAGAGTGTACAACTAGCCACTCATACAACTTTAGTTATTGTCTAATTTAAGTAGTCTGCCCAAAGGTTCTACACTAGCTACCATACCTGGAACCCACTTGTAGGTTTCCTATTTAACTACTCTGTTTCCGTATCCACTCATCTACCTCTGCCTACCAATGATCCTGGCTGATGTCAGTGAAAATATGTCATGATCACTAAGTCTTTAAAGCAGTTCTTTGGAATCTTTAACCTTATACTAAACCTTCCAGAATCTTCTGTATCCCATTCTTATAGTTGACCTGGTATCACTATGGTTGAAACCAATGCTGGTGGTCAGGGCATACTATTAAACTGTTATGCCCTTGTAGAGTTCACCTTAACCCCGGTACTTACTTCACAACATATCTTTACTACTTTGGTATTCAATTCAAGTTCTACCAAGCTGCCATTCTAGATAGCCTGGAAAGATAGAGTGAGATCATACTTCTGGTTTATATGTTTGCTGGCATATATCTTTTTCTTCTGGAACCTGGAAATTCCAGCAGCCTGGTTGGTTTATCTGGTCCTTCCTCAAAAACCAGCACATTTGCCTAGTTTCACAAGTTCTAGTTTCGTTTCATAAGTCTAGTCTTTACAGTAGTACCATCAAAAGCTTGGGTTATCTCTCTACTCGGGTCTTCCAAGTGGGCTTCCATCTTTCTTCTATTAGTTTCTATGATTTACATAGCCACAAGGACTTATTGTAGGTTTGCATTGCCCGATACTAATTTGCATTCTTTTGTGTAATTACAGACCTTGTTCCAAAGAACAATGTCATATAACTGTTATACAAATGTCATGTGACCTGCCAGTTATGCTGGTGTAACATAGATTATAGGTATCTTATCTCAATCAATTGCAAGAGACAGTTAACCATAATACAGAAAGGATTTTCAAATTTTTTATCAATATTGGGATTTGAACTCTGGACCTGCCACTTGGGGGTTAACAACCTAACTATTTCACTAGGTCACCACACTCCCTTCTCATTCATATTTTAGTAATAACCTATTTATAGTATTAATTATAAATTATTTATTAATATTATTCAAAGACAAGAAATATAATAAGTTAATTTATATCTAAATGATCTTAGAATATGTCAGTAATGTTTTTTCAATAAAATTTTCTGAAGTATTATTGTTATCTAGAATAATAATGCAAACTAATATTATTTCATATTAAATCCTAACAATTCTAACCTGATTTTTATTAATTTTTATCTGTAAAAAATATCTTATCATAAATTTTTGATATAAAAATTTAAGAAACAGTATAAGCTTAAAAGAAAATATAAATTTCTAACAAAAAATTTACATAGCATTAATATTAGTCATGTAATTTAAAGTTTATGCTCAGTTCATGATATTTTAATTAGTCCACTCTTCATTGATATCTATTTCATAAAAATTTTTAAATACCTTATTATCAATCATTTCTTTATCAAACATGTTACTATCAATTATTTCTTTATTAAACATCTCATTATCAGTTATTTTTTTAAATATCTTATTATTAATTATTATCTCCTCATTATTATTAAATGCTTTTTTATCTTTCTTATCAACTATCTTTTTGTCAAATGTTTCTTTATTAATTCTAGTAACTACCAAATCATTGCAAATATCTTCTATATCTAAATCTATATTATCTATACAATTTTCAATGATGACTTGTAAGTGGCTTAACATTTTATAATTTTTACTTCCATCAAGATTCAATATAATTCCAGCTAACTTAAATAACTTGATCAATAATTCTGTATTAATTTTTTTCTATGTTTTTAAAACCTATTTACAGACTAGTTCATAAGATGTCTTCTTGTAATTTTCTTTTGCTGTATATTTTTTTTCTTTTTTAGTCATTC